CCGCTCCTTCCTCGTCGCGTACGTCGTTTCCTCTTTGTCGCTCCCTTTCGCCCGCTCTGTCCCGCTTCCTCGCTCGTTCACCTCGCTCGCTCGCACTTTGTCCGCACCTCGTTCGGCGGCGATGGGGATCGCATAAAAACCGTCGTACGCGATGTTTCGCGGCTGGATGAGACTCGCGGCGTTATCCGTGGCACAGGCTAGGCCGAGATGCGATATGGCGTACCTTACGACGCGTTAACGAATGCTCACGGTGGCCATTACGCGCGACGAGGACAACAATGGGCGACACGGAACGCGCGCTGGGTGCCTCCCCTCCCCCGCTCCGTTCGAGCCCCCCCCTCTGCCGTTGCGGTGACTCTTTCCGAAGCGTTTGCGGGCGCCTGCCGTCGACGCAGCCGTTTGATCCCGTCAAGGTCAACTGCGCGGCGACGCATGCGCGTCGCGATGCGCGCGCTAATTGGCGCGCTAGCCGAGCGCAGCCGAGCGGCACCCGGCGAGACGCTGCGTTCACGGAGCGTCTTCTCTTCGCGGCTCGTTCGTCCCTTTCTTCCGGCCGTATCACGCCGCGTCGCGTCGCGTTGCACCTTCTACAACCTTCTGCACTGTGAATGGACCGAGCACGCGTTCGCGACTCGGAAGCGCGAGAGAGAAGGAATGAGAAGGAATAGACTGCTGAATCTGCAGATGGAAAGAACGGACTTTTCTTTAGCTTCGAGGACAGCTCCGATATTGCGCGAAGCGCGTTGAATCTTTTCCTTTTAATTACACTTTCTGCACCTGCGATCCCCTTTTTGCTTCTTCGAGACGCGAATACGCGACTATTTCAAGTTTTCGATAAGTTTATTGAGTTGAGTAATAATTGAACTTTGCGCATTTTCTTTCAAATAGCTGTTTAATTATATTTCTTTGTATTAATAGCTGCCGCTAAGTGAATAAATTTTAGTAATGTAGTTGTAATTGGAACATTCATTAATAGATGACGCTACTTTCCTGCTATTTTGTTCGTTTCCGTTTTGTGACGATAAAGGAACTTTATATATATTTTTCAAATTTAATTATAATTATTTTTTGAGAAACGCTATCGAGTCTCTTTTTTTTTCGAAACGAACCTGAAATTTTTTACTGATAATAAAATCGTTTCTATTCGATTTTACGCTCTATTTTATTTTTTTATTTATACCCAGTCGGAACTGATTGCCGAATCGACATCGATACGTCAATGTCGAGTGGTGATGTCGAATTTTCCGAATAGCTCAAACGGCGGACGACGCGACGTCTATTAGACAGAAACGTCCAATAGACATTGTGTGACGTCTCTGGTGTTGTCCAATGGACGTTGTCTACTGTTTGGGTTGTTATTTGATATTTATGTTACCTTCAACAACCAATAACGTTATAATTTTTTTATGTTAATTGACCAGTTGCGAACATTAATTTATATGAGATTTCTATTGTTTTCTATTTGTGTTCTATTTACATCGAATACATAAATATGCAAATATGTATTTTTGGACTTATTTGCTTCAATTCTATGTAAAATTGCTTCAAAGATTTTTTTTATGGATAATTTTATAAAAATATTCGCAATTACTGAGAATTAACAAAAAAATTATTATGATGAGGTAAAAAAATTATAAAAACATCAATATTTTTTATTAAACACTGACATCGATTTGATTAATTATTTCTGGCAAATTGGGTTAGTTTATTTATAGAGTATATGGATATTATGTTGAGATATAAAGTATCATGCGAAAAATCAAATTTAATTGTAATTATTTTTTCGAGAGACGCTATATATCGAGTCTTTTTATTTATTCAAAACGAACCTGAAATTTTTTACTGATAATTATATTTTTTTATAGTGTCGAACAAAAAATATTCAATCTCTCAATATATCTCTACGTTGATTTTTTTCATATTTTAATCTTAATTATATAACAGAAGTAAGTCGCGTAATTGCAGCAAAATTAGTCGAACTCAAAAAATTTGATTGCTGCAATTTGACTTTTGAGGTGTAATCGTGTCACGCCGCAAAACTTGCGTTATTTTTGTCGTGAAGGCAATGACACTACTTTTTCTCTTTAACCAATGTTGCTTCTGAGAGGTGCAGTTATTTTGGTCGTGTGCACTTTTTTTCTTAAATCTCATTAACTGTGAAATTAATCTTCAAAAGTCGAAATATTTATTCATATGAATATTATAAATTGTCTAGCTTAGAAATTATCTGGTTGCCCGTTCTGAGATATATTAAACTAGCGCGAAAAACATGCACTTATAAATAGATGTCCTGATGCTCGACGCAATGCAATCGGATGAGGCGTACTTTTTGAGTCACCCGTTATTTCGAGAAGTAACTTTTTGTTCTGGCATATGTCGTCAAGGTGGAGAAAAATATCTCTGGAGATTATTTTTATACAAAATTGTGTCTACAATATATTATAATTAGATTAGATTAGATTCTAGAAACATTTCCCGATCTTAAAATATCAACTCAATTAAATGAATATAACAGACATTTTTTTCTTTAAGAAACATTTTTCTGACAGAAGAAACAATAAAAAACAAGAAGAAGCAGGAAAAAAATAGTTTAATAAATTTTAGCTAATTTATTATTATAATTTCTATTTGTTGTTTGTAATTTATATGTCTCGTAATGAACAGTTCGGATCTAAATTAACAAAGTTGATTCAGACTGATTGTTATTCGGATCAAATTTTTCGGATATATTATTAATATTCAAATCATTTTAAATTCCAATATCTAAGTAATTGGCTGATTCAGCGAATTAATTAATGTCTGATTGTAAGTATTAACTAGAACCGCCGGCATTGAATACAGTATTGTTTACAGTAAAAATAAGAATAAACTGTGTAAACATGAGTGGAATTAATTAATTTTTTTTCGTAAATCAAACTTCTAAAATGATGAAAAGTCAGGGAAAACTGTTAACTAATACGGAAATTTATAAAAGTTACAGCAATTTTTAATATCAGCAGAGAGCCAAATTGGTGTTGTCAGCGGTGTAATGTTAAAGAATTTCGTTTGTTTTATAGTCATAATTTCTAAATATTTATACAGTCGTAATATCTAAACATTCTAAAGATTCTTTATCTCTTTTTTTCTCATATTATTATGCATTTGGTTTAAGCACATAATAAGTAGAAACAATAATAAAGTAGAAGAAACAAGTAATGGTGAAACATGCCTGAATTTTATAACTGTCCGACTATAGTTTCACATTTCTACTATCAATGAAGTGGAAATATGCATCGAGTGAACGCGCTCCAATATTTTTTACTCTGCAACAGTCACAGTCATAGTCATACAAAGCTCTCATGTTCTGAATATTCTTTTACAAGTATTTCTTCTCATTTCTCGTTCAAGTCTTCGATATTGGACGCGAAGGCACAATCAAAAGTAGAAAGCTCATGTCTTTAAAATAAGATATATACAGACAAAAAGGATTCAGTTTTTATTTATTTCTTCTTATTCAGTCTTATGTATCCTAATTTCATCATTTCATGCAGCAAATTAGAACATATCTCTTTTATATAGTATATGTATTCTAACAGTGCGTGTGTAAATATTTAAATACTACATTGAAGAAATACTAATATTTCGGTATCCATTTCTATCACATTATTTTTAGCAATATTTGAAGTTTTATAGGACAACTTATACAGTAGAAATACAATATATATTTTATGTTAAATATGTGTTCTATAAAAAATATTTCTTTTGAATTAAATAACATAATAGATTTTAGATAAGTTAACAAAATATAGTAAGTGTTTACATAGATAAAAGTTAACTACCCGAATAGAAATTTGGTCAGACAAGCTTTGTATACGGTCCTGATCAGTTATCAATAAGGCATACTTGACTACGGCATGCCAGATCAGTATCTTTATAGGATCTTTTTATTTTACCCTCAAAATTAATTTTAAAAAGCAATCAGGCATGCCTGATACGGCATCTGCCTTTACTTTACTTGTTTCTGCTAGAAACAAGTAAAATTGCATCAATCAAAGATTTGTTTGTCCATAAATGTTACGTACTTAGGTACGTAAATGTAATAATAAAGTCAATATTTACCCGTCAAGCAATATTCTACAAATCCAAATCCCTGTTACATTCGAACGATTTTTTCCAATAGAACAAAACTTCTGAAAACAAAATTTCTTTCGTTTTCTTTCGTAGCTGTTAGAGACAAAAGATAAAAGCACGGTGAAAATCTGTACAATGTGGGTTAAGATTATAAATTAATAAAAAGAATTTCTGTTATAATTTAAGAGAAACTAATAAATAATAAAAAATAAATAATAAAAAATGAATAATAAAAAATGAAAGGATAAGTAAAACAAAAATAAATATAAAAATAATAAATAAAAATAGTAAAAAATTAATAAAATAATAAAAAATATATTTTCATCATATAAATTTCAGAATATAAAAAAATATAAATTCATATCAATTCAATTTTGAAATGCCTTATCGAAGCAGATAAAAATAAATACTTTTTTTTTAATTAAAAATGTTAATAGAGAAAGTAT